TTTGTTATACAGTCACTTTTAGTTATACAATAGTGGAGTGAGGACATGCAATGTTCAAGATCTGTTACTGTGAAGGTGTAAAATGAGTGGAGTCTTTTTTTTTTTTATCAAGTGGGAATACAGCAAATCGGATTTCTACAAGAACAATGTGACCCACCTCTCTGAAATTCTCACTGCTTAATGGATTTTATCAACTTTTCGCCACAGTGAGCATCACTTGAATATTTCTTTTTCTCTACATCCTTGCAACACACCATCACCATTAAAACCAATGTTCTCTGACAGCATACATTCTATCATGTAATAATTCTTAAAGGCATCGTTCACCCAAAAATGAATATTCTGTCATCATTTACTGAACCTCATGTTGTTCCTAACCTGTATGGGTTTCTTGTGTTCAACACAAACAAATATATTTTGAAGAATGTGTGTATGGAAAAAATACTATAGAAGTCAATGAAGACCAGAAACCTGCATTCTTCAAAATATCTTATTTTGTGTTCATCAGAAGAAAGAAACTCTTGTAGGTTTGGAACAACTTGATGACAGATTTTTTAGTTTTGTGTGAACTATCCCTTTAAGGTTAGAGTTCAAATTCCTGAACCTTAAGTAGGAGCAATAGCAAGATCAAATGTATTTACATTATTAAGAAATGTAGTATTCTTACTTGATTCCTCTCTTGATGACCTCAGTGGGGGCACCGTTGATGGTGTCCACGCAGTCAGTGCAGCGGTATTGTTTGTTGTCCAAGAACCAGCCAGAGTCAGACAGACCCCTGACCTGGATGTTTGTGTGACCCAACTCCTCCAGAAGCTCAGATACTGGGTCCACATTCAGCAACACCCCAGTGCCACCCGCGCTGTGGACAAGACGCACGTATTTAGTCAACATCGGCCATGGATATCAAATTCCGAAACCATGGTCTGTAATATGGACTCACCTGCTTCCAGCCAACAGAAGTATCTTAGCATTATCCAGACCCTTGGTGAGCAGGTTCTTTACAACTTCCTTTATGATCAGTGAACCCATGAACGCATAGTCATCTGTACACAATAAACAACAAGTCAATGACAGCTAGTGCTAACTAACTTATAACAGCT